GCCTGTCTGATCTCTCCGGCCCTGGATGTGGCTTCTTCACAGTCAGGTTGCAGGGCCAGATGCCCCGTTGGGTCTTTGCTGGTCTCCCATCCCCCAGGGGTGCCTGACTCCTGGAAATATTCTTGTGCACTACAGGAGTTGATTAAAAACATTCATTCTCTGCAGAAGTGTCTCTGTTGCAGCCACTTGAAAGAGAAAGAAAGAAAAGGAAGGAAGGGAGGGAGGGAGGGAGGGAGGGAGGGAGGGAGGAAGGAAGGAAGGAAGGATGGAAGGAAGAGGGGAAAGACAGGAGAGAGAGAAAGAGCAAGAAAGAGAGGGAGAGGGGAGAGAGAGAGAGAGAGAGAGAGGGGTCCATCCTTGAGGCTGTTTTCTGTTTGGAGGCCAGCATCTGGGGGCACGGGCCAGTTTAACTTGGACATCAGTCACAGGCCTGTACATTGGCCCTCCTACCACCTTCTGTCCCCTGTCCTGCAGGGTAGCATCCTCTGCCCTTTTCCCAGTGCCCCTCCATAGCACCTCCCAAGAGCATGGGGTCCCTGCAGACTCCCTGTGCACGATGAGCAGTGGGTACTTCCTGGGAGGGTACAATGCCAGAGGCAGGGGCGCTAACAGTGGACAGGGAGAACATCAGAGCGGGGAATTGGGGTCCAAGAGCCTGTGCTTTGATGCAGAAGCCCCAGGCCCCATCCCTGCCACCCCTGGCTATGGCCTTTCCCCCACCGAAAAAAAGAGAAAATTAAAACCAGCAAACAATCTCCCTCTGTGAAGGTGTGTGACGCCCTCCACAGACTCCCCATGTGTCGGCTCTCCTGGCTGCCAGGCTAGACTGTCCCTGCTGGTCAACCTCATGCTCCCCCCCCCCCCCGTGCCCTGCAGGTGGCAGAGCAGCGGTGGGGTGAGAAAGCTGAGCCTCAATCTCATCCATTGTGGGCTTGCACCTCTGTGTGGACCAAGCGACGCTTGGCTGGCAATGACCCTTGTCTAGCACATTGGAGCTCGTGAAATAAGGGTTGCTCCTTCCCCTTTCCATTCGACATGCTGCGTCCTAAAGGAATCCTTTGGGTTTCTAGGTCAGGGAAGACAGAACCCGGCAGAGTGATGTCCTCTGGGTCAAGGCTGAATCCAGCCCAGGGAGTAGGTGACCACTGTTTGGCGCTCCCTGTAGAGCCCCTCTTGGCTGGAGTGATAGCACAGCGGTAGGGCGTTCGCCTTACAAGCGGCCAACATGGCCGACACGAGTTCGATTCCTCCGCCCCTCTTGGAGAGCCCGGCAAGCTACCGAGAGTATTCGATATGCCAGACACAGTAACAACAAAGTCTCCAATGGAGACGTTACTGGGCCCGCTCGAGCAAATCGACGAACAACGGGAGGGCCTTTATCTTTATCTTCCAGTCTAAAGCCATGGGGGGCCCCTAAAATGCTCCGTGAGTAATGCCAGGGCCTGTAGCAATGCCCTCTGTGTTGGGCTCTTTGGCCCCAAAGCGTGAAGAGAGGCATGTGAACATGATCTGCAGCGCCTTCCTGGGTCTGGTCTCCACTGGTCTCCTCACTGCCCAGGCCCAGGTGTTCAGGTCCACCCTGGGGAGCCCCTTCGCCGCCAATCTGCCCACATCCACCTGGCAGTCTGGAATCACTGGGCAGCCTCAAAATGCCTGCCAGGCAAGGTGACATCGGCAGCCCCTTCTCACACTGTGCCCGTCTGATTCTGGGTGACCCCCAGAATTGGGGTCCGCGTGTTTGGGGTCAGTGTATTTGGGGGTCCACGTGTTTGGGGTCAGGCCAAGGCTTTCTGCCTTTGCCCATCCCTGAATCCTGAACCCGCGGGGAACTTCAGGGTCTGATCTGGATCAATATCGGCCGCACGGCGGAAGGCCGCGGGGGGCGGAGGAAGTCAGGGCCCCCTCCCAGGTACCCCAGCCAGGGCTGGGGCTGCAGCTAGAAACCAGGAGCACCGTGTCCTCGCCTCGGGCTTTCCCATGCGCTGGCTGGGGCGCGGTTTGGCGTCTCGGGCGGGGCATCCCGAGTGGTCGCGACCGTGCAGCTGCTCGTCCGGGATCACCCTCCGGTGCCCTGCAGGTTTCACCTGTGCCCCAGCCGGGCGGTCAGAGCCAGGGGCACGCGGGACGCCGAGGCCCGGTGATGGTTAAGGTCATCGCGCCACCTGCTGGCCTTCGTGCCGCGAACGGGGGCCTGGACCGAAAGGCCTCGGGCGCCCTGCTGTGGCCTTTTGGAGACGCAGCACGAAAGTGACAGCCGACGTGGATGCACCTGGGGAGCTTTTCCTCCTCCGAGCACTTTCGACCGAGTCTAGACCAAGGTTTGCAAGAACCTCGGGCGCAGGGGACCAGGGCCGAAAGCCTTGTGCGTCACAACGGGGGGCGGCCTGGTAGCGAGGGGGGACAGGACGGGCGGGGCCCGAGCAGGCCCAGGAGGTGTGGGCTGAAGTTTGGGTGCTGGGCGCCCCGGAGCCTGCGAGCCAAGGGGTGGCCCTTGCAGGTAGGACGCGTCCGGCCGGGGGGCACTGGGAGGGCCCGGAGGCCGCGAGCGGGGGTGGGGGGCAGCCTGGGTCCCCAGGGCGCCCAGATGCCACCCACGCAGGCACTGAACCCCGAAACCAGACCAGCGGAGTCGACACGGAGGAAGGCGGCCGGCAGCAGGGGACGCCCCTCGGGACATGGGCAGGGGGTGGACTCGGTCCGAGCCAAACCCAGCGTGCGGCCACTGTACGGTCCACCGAGGCTCAGCTGCGTCCCAGATCCTTCTGGTCCCCCAGCACTAAGGATTCAGGGGACACAGGGCACTGAGGACACAGGGCAGCCGACCCCCCCTGCCATGGGTCTACGAGGGGATCCCCACACTCCTGGGGGGGCCCTAGAGGAACATGTCCCCGTGGTCCAGTAGTGGGAGGAGCCTCGAGCACATGCCCAGTCACGTGGGCAGACCTCCACTGACCACGCGCCCAGCAGTCAGGCCTCTGCCCAGGATCGTTCTTAGCCCTCCCCAGGGTGACTTGGCCCATAGCCTGCGCCTGTCCGGGGGTGCCCCGGGTTCCCAGATTCCCGTCTCGGAGGCCCCACGGGCGGGAGTCAGGGCCAGGCCATCTGTCCGTCCTCCTGTCCAGTGCTGTGGGGACCTGCGCCGGGCCGAGCTCCCACCCGCTGCCACCTCCGTGAGATCATGTCTCGGGCTGGGGCAGGTGACATCAGACCCCACAGCCGGCACTCGCATTCCAGGCCCCGGAGAGCCGCGCCTGGTCTGCGCAATCTGAGCCCAGGGACATTCTCGACCCAAAATCACCAACCCCAGGGGAGCTGGCGAGCGCACAGGGCCGGAAATGCCATCAGGGCATTCCTGCAGGTCACTGTAAGGCCGGATATGAGCTGCCAGGAGCCTCTTGCAGGCGGCTTTCTGGTGTGTGTGTGTGGTGGTGGTGGTGGTGGGTGGGTACCCAAGGGACATACATGGCCGGCCGAGAGCGGCCCTGTCCTCTCCCTGGTGACGAGCGCTGAAGCCTCATATTCTCTAGAACCGTGGGCTCACAGTAAAGAGGTAGGGACAGTGGTCAGTCAGCCCCATGGACAGGCCACAGAGGGGTGGACTGTCTGATCCCTCTGCACCTGCCGGTGGCCCTGCCCCGGATCTGTCTGCATTCCCTGCGGCAGGCTGCACCCGCTCTGCAAACATGGTGCAAGGCACTGATGGGGGCCACGTGCCACTCACACCCCATCTTCCCCTGCCAGGGACGCGCCTCGGGAGCTGGTGCTCATCACCCAGGGCTCTCGCGGGAATCAGCCTGGCCTTCCCACCACCTGTCCCTCCGTGGACCCTGCTCTTCCTCCCCCGGGGCCCGTGTCCCTCCCTCCCCCGTCCAGCGCGGGATTTGCTTCTCAGGGTCTGCTCGGCGGGTCCCGTCTTTGGCGAGTCTCTGCGGCAATTCTTAGGGAGCGGCAAGGGTCGGCTGCCCGGCCTTCAAGTTTACGACTTGTCTTTGAAGACTGCCCTGGCCAGTGTCAGGGACAGGGCCAGCCCCGGGAGGCGGCATCTTTATGGGCCCCCAAGGCTTTCTGAACCGGGCAAGTGACAGCGCCAGGCGCCTTCCCACAGCCATTTCCTTTCCTCGTCTTAGAGCGCCTGGAAGAGTGATGGGGGGCCGGTGAGGAGTAGCGGGAGATTCTGAGAACCGTCTCCAGATCAGGGCTGGGAGCTAGCTCAGAGGGGGGGTTGCTGCCTCACACACGAGGCCACGTTTGAGCCTGGGCACCACGTCCCGACACCCCCAAACCCACAACCAGGAGCCTCTGTCCAGGGAGATCTGAGCAGCACCCCACACAGGCACACTGGACCACACTGCCAGGGAACCCAGAACCTTCCACCCACCTGGGGGTACTCCTGGGAGTGGCCCTAGGCTCCCTGGGCACTGCTTGGGGCCTTCCCTACCCCCACCACACCTGCACAAAGACACTCACTGTTCGCATTCCTACAGCCCACACGCACTAAAGCCGGCTCTGCTCTGACACGGGGGTTGGGTTGGACTCGGAGATATAAAACTTTCTGCCAGGGGCCGGCTTTGGGTTTCCTCTTGTCCCTGAGTCTAGCACACTTCCCTTGCATTCGATCCATGTTTGTACCTCCTAAGTGCTCCAACACAACTGCTCATTAAACAGGTTTCAGGCAGGCCCAGTGCAGCCGGACGGGGACCCTCCCACCTACCGCCTCTGAAGTGGAGGGGGAGGAGGGCAGGGTGCACACCACATTTTAGGGTACTTGGGGGTCAGTGCGCCAGGGTCCAGGCCCCCCACGTGATGAGGAAGCAGCAGGATTTCCACCAAGGTTTCGTCACTTGTGGTCCTGGTCAGCCTGTACCTTCCCAGAGAGGGTTCTAGAAAGCTTGAGACTTCACTGCGGTGGGATGGCCAAGACAGGAGTCGGGGAGAGACAGGGCTTAGGGTGAGGGAGCAGGAGGGGACAGAAGTCAGATACCCCCAAGTTCTGCATCTTGCCAACCACTTTAATGTGTGCCCAGGCACTCCAGGGTGAGCCCTGATGTCTGTGTCCACCCTGTCCCGGGCCGTGTCCCTGTCACGACAGGGGCCCCGCCTCTCCTCCGGGTCCATGAGCCCGCAGCGCCGCCCCATCGGCCCTCCAGCGACAGGCAGGTCTGCTGGGTTCTGAGTCTGCGGGTGCCTGGGGAGCCCCTCTGCTCCCCCTGTCCTCTGAGTGGGGAGCAGTGCTCCGACCCCTGCCTGCCTGCAGCTCCATGGAGAGAAAGTCTCAGGGGCAGGAGGAGTGTCAGTGAAGTCTGGGGGGCACAGAGGATGGGGAGAAGCTGGCAGAGCACCTCCGTGTGCGGGGCCTTCGCCACGGGTGTGGGGTGGTCAGAGGGACTGAGAGGTGTCCCCCTTGGGGTGGGAGGGGCGCCCACAAATTGTCTCCTGCTCCCCAAAACCAGCTCAGGACTGGGGGCAGGGCGAGGCTGGAGGGGCTCATTCCTCCACCCCGCAGCTTCCTCCTCTCCCCACCTATGGCAGTCCCAACCTAAGAATGTTCTGGAAACCGAGGTGCACACGAGGACGGCAGGTGGCTCCAGGTGGACGCACAGGAGGAGTTGTGCCCCGAGACCCCGGGGCTCTCAGGCTTCGGCTCGGCGCTGAGACCAGGCGGGGGCTACAGGGCGACGCCCGTCTTCTTGGGGTTGCCTGAGGAGTGGGTGGCAGCAGAGTCCTCAGCAGCCGGGAGACCCAGAATCTCCAGGATGATGTCCCAGAGGCAGAAGACCAAATGCCTGCAACACATGGCCAGTGAGGGGCGCGGAGGTCTGGGCCTGCCTGTGACCGTCATGCCCTTCCCCCCCCCCCATCACTGGCCCCAAACCCCAGCGGCTTGATGGGGCTGCTGCCCTGTGATACAAGGGTCTGGGGGTCACAAGGATGCTGGCCCCAGAGGCAAGAGAGTGAGCCCGAGCGCTGAGAGCAGCGGCACCGCCCCAGAACTACTGGGGGCCGTGTGGATGGGCAGACCCTCCGTCCCTGTGTGTGTCTTGAAGGTTCCAAGAGGCAGCCTGGGGGCAGTAGGGGATCTGCTGTGGGGGGGTACAAGACGGGCAGCCCTAGGATGGGAGCCAGGAGCTGCTCCCCGGGACAGGCTCTCTGAGGGGCCACTGGGGACAGGGAAACCCCTTCTTCCTCCTCCTCAGCACGAGGGCAGCAGGGTCCAGCCAGCCCACGTCCGCCTCAGCGTCTGTGTACCCCAGAGCCAAGCCAGCACCTCTTGACACGGCCCTGGTCCCCAGGAGGCCCACCCTGGGTGGAGCCTGTCCGATTTGGAGGGGAGAGCGGGGGCTCCCCGGGGCGCCCTCGCCTACCTGTTGATCAGGGGCTGCTGCAGCGAGTTCAGCACGAGGCTCCAGCTCAGCTCCCACTTTTCTCTCCCGAGGAGCCGGACCACGAGGTCTGAGGAGAAACAGGCGCCGTGGACGCTGGGACCAGCCTGGGCTTTCTGGCACTGCCCGGCCACGCGTGAGTCCAGAGTCGCACGAAGAAAAGTACAGCCAGCCACTGGGGTGGACACTCTTGCCGGGCAGGCCGGACTAAACAGAGCCCGGGAGCCTCTAGCCCACGCGAGGTCACTGCTGTCCTGTCCTCCCCCAGGGCCTAGCAGGCGGCCTCCAGCCTCTCACACACTGAGGGAAGGCAGAGTCTGTTCCTGCCCGCGTGGGACCACGGCTGGCGGCCGAGCATCTGCAGGAGGGATGTGGGTCCGACCCAGGACAAGGCTGAAGCTGGGGTGGCGAAGGCCAGCCCAGTGCCACTAAGCTTCCTGGGCCTGCTCTGGGCTGGCACGGCGGCCCTCGGTATAGCTGTGTGGGCCTCTCCCCGGCACCACTCGCTGGGCAAACCCCCCACCCGTCGTGACCTCCAGACTAGCCGGGCCCTCAGGGGCTGGGCACGGCACGTACCTGGCACGAGCCCCATGAAGTCCTGCAGCACCTGCTTCTCTGTGGCCTGCTTCTGCGCCGGGGTCCTCGCAGGGCGCGGGCTCTTGGGTAAAGCCCCGCCAGGCCAGATGGACTCGCGGATGAGCCGGAGGTACTGCAGCCAGTGCTGGGGACACGTGAGGTTGGCGACCTGCACCTCGAGCCACCTGCGGGGCAGGAGGTGGTGTGAGCCCCGGAGCCATCGGCTGCCCCTTGGACACACGGCAGCCCGTCCGGCTGGAGGTCGAAGGTGACCACACAACCACACACATGCACGCAAAAGGCTGTGGCTCCCCCAGCGCCTGGGGGCCACACGCAGAGCAGGAAAGGGGCATCTGTCAGCGTCGCACGTGGACGCCGTCTCTCCAACAAGGGTTCGATGGCCCAGCACGCGCCCCCCTCCTGGGTCATCCTGTCCCAGCACGGGGCCCTGCGCACCCCAGTCCATCCACCGAGCTGGTCAGTCTGGCAGCACCCCAAGTGGCCCCCCGCTCCTCCTCTGCCACCTGGCTTCACAGCACAGGCTTGGGACAGGCTCCTACTTCGGAATTGGAATTGTTTTAAGTTCACATCGTTCCTTTCCCAAGGAAATCACAGAAATACCAGTTTGGTGTCCTTTGACTTTTAAATACAAGTTTCCGGCAGTCAGTTGGGTCCTGGGATACGGCTGCCCAGTGTGCTGCCCCCTGCTCTGCCGTCGGGCATCCCAGCTGTGGTGACCATGTGTGTGACCTCTGGCTGTGGCAGCCACGCATGCGTGAGCCCCGAGCACTGCCACAAGAATCTGGGTGCACTGTCCCCTGCATATGCCGCCCTGGGCCTCTCGGCAGCAAACACAGGGAAGGAACAGTGTCGGCAGGAGCTGGGGGAGCCGGGCAGAGTGGCAGCCAGTGTGGGGGGGCTCACCGTATTCTCAGCTAAGTACGGGACGAGCAGCCCTGATGGCCGAGGGTAGGCCACTGGCCGCTGATGACTGTCCCTCCCACAGTCCCTCGCCACCTCAGCTCCCTCAGCTCCCTGCTGCCCAGTGGAGGGATGCTGGGGGAAGGGGTGGCCAAGACAAAGTTTATTTAACCTCGGCTCTGCCCAGACAGTCTGCATTCCACTCTCGCTGGGCTCCCCGCCTCAGGGGTGGCAATCCCGCGGGTCCAGGGCTCACAGGGGACGCTCGGAATAGGACACAGGAGAGGCAATGCCAGGACAGGCCTGGCAGATGCAGGTGGGGTATGAGTGGCCCCCGCAGTGCTGCCCCCATAGTTCAGGTAGGTCTGCGCCCCCTTTTATAGGTCTCTTCTTTTATGGAGCCCCAGACACTGGCGGGAAAGTCCTGGGAGCAGAATCCAGTGGTCACCATTAGAGGAGGTGGCAGCCCAGCCCGCAGGGAATCAAGTGACCCCGTTGGCCCAGCCTAGTCCCCCTCCCTTTTGGCTGTTGGCTAAGTGAGAGAGTGGGAGGGGTCAAGGACTCGGAAAGCCAAACCCTTAAGTCCTCCCCACGGTGGAGACCCCCCAGGGCTAACTCACGAGCACAGAGTCCATGAGCCCCCCGACACCCACACACAACAGCTGTGACCACCAGGTATCTCCAGACACCGCGTGTACCATGTGAGCAGCCGGGAGCCACGAGGTGGAATGTCACCAACGGGACCGCAGCACAAGAGCGGGGCCGCAAGCGATGTGAGGAGTGAAGAGGCAGAGAAGGGACGGGAAGAGGAGGTGGGGGGGAGGGGCTGAGACACCCTGTCGCCTCAGCCACTGTCGGGGTCTCTGTGAGCCAGGGCTCAGCACAGTACCCCCCAGCTGTGGGCCAAGGCGGCAGCTTTGTGGTTTGTGACATTTCAAATCATTAAAACAGGTTAGACAGAAGATGCAAATGTGTTTTGGGGCACTTGGTTCCTAGAGGGTTGTTTCTGTGGATCTAGCAGGGGTGGGTGTATGTGTGTGTGTGTGTGCATTTGTTTGCATAGGAGTGTGTGTGTGTGTGTGTGCACATGTGCTCTCTATTGGTCATGATGTGAAATGTATTTCTAACAATGAGCTGAAGTTCTGTGAAGCTGGAAAAATCCTGACGTAGCATGGGAGGAATCAGAACTTCTAAGCATAGGGGTACAGCCTGTTGGACCTGCTGGCATCACTCCCCACTTCCGCCTGCCCTCCACAAACCTGGAAAGTGTCAACAATGGCCTAAACCTCACACTCTGCACTCTGCTGCCCAATACCTGAGCCGAGTGAGTAGCTGGGCCCACAGTGTGTAGAGCAAGGAGACCTCAGGTGTGGTGACGGGAACCTGGGCACTTCCCGCTGGACAGGCTCACAGGTGACTGAGTCCCAGTTCCCTTCCTGGCCCCCTTCCTCCCTCAGGGCCCCTCTTGGCTCTCAGCTTCTCCGTCTGTAGCAAGTCTGGGTGGATCGGTGCAGGGTCATCAGCCGGGCAGAGAGAGTGCAGCAGCCTCAGCCTTGGGCCTCGGAAATGCACTTCCAGGGCAAGAGACTCTTGCTTCTCTCTCCCAGTGACTATCCGGAAGCCTCAAGTGGCTCACAGATGCTCCCCCCATCTCATCTAGGATGTCTGCATTCACATTTTTCACCGTGATACTCCTCTCTAAAACGTGCTTCGTGCAAGAGAAAACTAAACACCGCTGGAGAGACAGCCCAACGGGCTAAGCACATGCTTTGCATGCCAAACCCCAGTACAATCCACATAGTCCCCCGAGCACTTCCTGGAGCAATTTCAGAGCACAAAGCTTGGGAATAGCCTGAGCATTGCCTGATATACCCCAAACGCCAAGCCCCAAGGCCCATACTTTTACGTATGTCCCAGTTTTGGGTTTTAATCACTAACATAGAAGTTAGATGCAAAATAAGATGTTAATTCTATCTTACGTTGTCTGCGAAGAGAGAGCACGGCAGTAAAGGCACTTGCATGGCACGAAGCCATCCCTGGTGCAACCCTGGCATGGAGCCAGTCAGGAATAAGACCTGAGCACAGCTGGCTGTGGCCCAAAACATGAAACAATAACATAATATGCATGGAGAAAGAAACCATTCCTTTTTGTTTCTGTTCTGGCCTATCCGTCACAGTATCTCTCCAACCCAACTCCCAAGATCAGAACCACTTCTTAATCAAGGAAGGAATTAAAGTCTCTGCTGAACCTTGGACGTTTTCTTTACTATCACCAAGTTACAAACCAGCCCCAAGAACAAGGTTCCTCCTTCTGTACCCAGCAGCAAAAGGCAGACAAGAACCTGGGGCTTTGCAGAGCTGAAGGGACACTTCACAGCTGGTCCCCAACCACCCCCAAAGCCACAATCCCCTGGGTGCTGCTATTCCTGGAATCACTATGGATTCTGGCCCATGAATCCACAAAGTGGGATTTTTAGCCTAACTTTGCCATCAATTAGGGACGTGAGCGTGAGGTGGCAGCTTGCTTCCTGAAGAGGGCACTTTCATCTAGGAAGGCTTCTCAAATGCCAAATCCCAAGGCTGCAGCTTGTGAAGTTCAGTCACCGGCTCACCTCAACCCTCTGGAGCTGGCGGGAGGCAGTGAAGTTAGAATGCAGATCTCTCTCTCTCTCTCCCAAAGCAGAGCCCGGCAGCGCTGAACATACTCGATTCAGCCAACCGCAGAGGACGGTACACAAAATGCAGTCAGCGGACACAGGGAGTGATGGAGGGAGAACTGTGCCCGGCCCTGCTCCTTCCTCTCCTCTACGTGTGGCCTTCTGGGTCAATCTCTCTTGCGAAGGAGCTGAGCCGGCCACGACGCAGACATGGTGCCTCCTTCACCCACACACTCTTCCTTCTAACACAGCTGAAGACATTTGGTTTTGGAGGGCACATACATCAAAGCACTGAATCGTACCGAAGGTGCGGTCCACTAGAACCCCGAGTCCACATATGTCCATTTACAAACCATCACATGTCCCTTCATTAAGCTTGGTCTTGCCCTTAGGTACTTGTACAATACTTTTTAAAAATCTGATTTATGACATTTGTTTCTACGATTCCCAAAGTTATCTCTATTAGTTCCAAAGTTAGCCAGTCTAACTTTTCGGGCCTTGATTCTTCTCTCTTAATCCACTGCATTTCTTACACCTCTAAGAGTCAGAGTTTTTATGTACCATTTTACAGATGAAGAACTGAAGAGGGCCAGAGAGTACAACAGGCAGTGCATTTGCTTTCCTTGTGGCTGACCTGGGTTCAGTCCCTGGCACTACATTGGGTCCCCCAAGTGCTGCCACCCTCACCCCCCAAAAAAGAAAGAAAAAATAAAGAGTTGGATAAGAGCGATGTTATCAGCAATTTCCTCAAAGTTGACAACAGTTTTTAAATACTCAGGCAAAAAGTCTCTCAAACTAGGTCCGAGTTTCAGTTGAAAATGCTGAGTTTGGGGCCAGAGCAATAGTACAGTGGGTAGGGCATTTGCCTTGCATGTGGCTGACCTGGATTAGAACCCTGGCCCCACATATGCTCCCTTCACTCCCCCCAAGCCCACCAGATGTAATTCCTGAGTGCAGATAGGAGTAAGCCCTGAGCACAGTTGGGAGTGGCCCAAAACCATAAAAAAAAATAAATGGACATAATTCTTGCATCTACTTTGTCTACATGGGTATTAAAGAAATACGACAAGAGCTTGTCGAAATCCACAGGACACTGCAGCCCTACTGCACTCCTGTCACCAACCGGCCTCACAGGCTGGGAAGAAAGGAGGAACCCGGCTCTCACACAGGACAGTCCACTGAACACAGGTCCTCTTCCAGTGCTCACTGCTGCAATAGCTGGCGCTCACCAAACATCACCGCATCATCTCAGAATTTTCCAGACATATGGCAGGGTCAACAGGACTGATACAGTTTACGAATGGCAAGAAAACCCGCCCATCTCCAACTCCCCTAGGCAACTCAGGTCTTCAGCGGTGAGAGCAGACTCTGTTCCATGGTCACAATCCACTGAGAAGTTGTTCTAGTCAACTCCGGTTGACTGATCCCAATCCCATCCATTCAGTTCTTCTCCTTAGATACTTTCTTTGATGGAAAAAGAGGTTAAAGAGCTGAGCAAGCAGCAGTGGGCAAATTCACTGTTCAATCTACAACTAAATGTTTTCTCAGTTGATACAAGAACATCTGTCCCAAACAATTCACTTATATTTTGTTCCTTTGAGGACGGT